TTCATAATATTACGAAGATGCAAAGGAGTTTGGAAGAAGCACTACTATTATCTGTCATCAAAACACAAGATCTTTTGTCCTGTCTCTCTCGATTTTTCACAGCTACTCAGGAAACAGATACTGTACAATTCAAACACCCTTATCCACCTCCCGGTAAGAGTCACCATCAAATGCTTTATGGGACAATATTGGTAAAGCTTCCCTCACGGTAGTTGAAGGGCATGGGGCCTACACACAATGTTGTTCAAAAGCAATTTCACATACACAGAAATTATTTTAGAGTTTTCAACTCTGTGGAAAGAAAACCCCCACCACTGCTACTCTACAGTGGACACATCCATGCATGTGGACACACATATCTGGGCTCTGCACACACAGACGGAGTCCACGTGTGGCCGGAAATCAGCAGTGAAGGAGAATGGTACAATTAACTTTTCAGAAGTTCTATGAACAGAAGGTTTAGGTTAAACAACCCTATTGAAAAAATGGGCAAGGAATGTAAATTGATATTTCTCCTAAGAAGACACAGCCAACAGGTATATGGAAAAGGGGCACAAGATCACTGATCATTAGGGAAATGCAGGTCAAAACCACAGGAGATGCCATCTCACCGCTATCAGAATGGCTATTAACAAAAGATAAGAGACAGGATTGGGTGAGGATATACAAAAAGAAAACCCGTACCCTGCTGGTGGGAATATGAATTGTACAGTCAGAGAGAGAACATTATGTCATTTCCTCAAACAACGGAAAGCACTTCCGGGGGATCCAGCAGTCTTTCTCCAGGGGATTTACCCAAAGGAAATAGAATGAGCACCTATCCCCACTCCTGTGTTCATCGCAATATTATGGATAATAGACAAGAAATGGGAACAACTTAAGCGCCCCATGACAGACAATGAGATAAAAAAAATTGTGATACACAGAGAGAGAGAGGCAATAGAATATTAAGTAGTTTTAAAGAAGAAAATCTGACTATTTGCAACAAGGACGAACATGGGAGATGTCGTGCTAAGAAGCCAGACCCAGAAATACAAATACAAACGGTCTCTCTTAGGCATGGAATGAAAACACAAAAATGTCCTACGACTTAAATTCTAAAAAAGAAGTTTTAAAAAGACGTGTATAAAAGGAAAATGATACCAGATTAAGAACAGGAATAAACAGTCCATCGGAAATCAGCCATAGAATGAATTTTCTGAAATGTCTATGTGTTAATAGTCTGAAAGTCAAAGTCAAACGGATCCTCCAGAGGCATCAAGATGGTCCCGTAGACCTCCACCCTATGCTTTGGTTTTAAACTATTATTCTATGAAGTTAGTCTCTATTTCTGTCTTATTGATAGGAAAAGTCTCAGTGTGGGGGTAATACAAAAGCCTCCCAACGTGACATATAAATCAATAGTCCAGCTGGAACTACCGTTTTATTCAGTCCAGCTCAGTTCAACCACTACCTACCACATGCCTAGGTGTTAGATCCCACAGCAGATTCAGAAACAAATGGCTATAGACATTAACCTTGACAATGTGTGGTCTGGTCTAATAGAATACATGGAAGATACATAGAAATGGAAAGAAAAGAAAACCAACAACAAGCAGATGCAAACAAGTGCCTTAAAGAAGACAGAGTGCTCTAAATATTCTCAGACCACACATCCTGTGGGGAGGGAGGTGTCACTTAGAGTAGGTTGGTAAGATGAGATGAGCTAGAGAAAGGAGAGCAGAGGGGAATGGCCACGAGATAGTAACACATGATACACACTCAGGGAACACCAAGCAGCTTGTCCAGGCAGAGTTGGGAAAGTGAGGCCACGTGGTAATGATCTTGAAAGGCCATGGGGATGAGACTGTATGACATGCGGTAGAGACATGGCTGAAGACTTTAGATCTCATGATCACATTTGTTGATCAAATCCTTCCTCTTTCCTAGTGATTCTGTAACAGTAGGTGGCTTTTAGAAAGGAAAAAATCAGGCAATACTAACTGCAAAGAATACATTATTTTCTACATCTCTACATCAGAGCACCTGATTCGTGCAGAGAAGAAACCTGTTTGGAGCAAATTAGCATCTTCCATTAGTAAGTTCTGTTCAAGCCCATTCTCCCTGAGAAGAGTCTATTTCTGAAGACCACAGGGAAGAAATGTATAAATTGTCCTGATTAGAACTCCCAACTTTTATGGAAGTATCTGTGAATGAAAAATTTAACTCCGATACAAATGTTCCAAACCCATTTATCTCTCAGTCCAAACTTTCTTACCCAACCACAAGCTTCCACTTGTATCTATTCTCCAAAGGAAAAAAGAAAAGACACTCTTACATAGCATATTTAAAACATCTTTATTGCAGTCACAAGCCATTGATTGATAATAATAATTAACTTGCCTTTGTGAAAAATGCCCCATGTCCATTTGAATTAACTGTCATAACATCTTGCTTGAGGAATATAGGTAAACAAAAACGTTCCACTAGTATCTCAAATGGGGCACTCCCGTAACAAATTCTACAAATCAGTACTATTTCAAACCTAATTGTTTAACTCCAATGAAAGCATAACAGAAAGACAGCAAACCAGAGAAAGAACTAAAATAAGCATAAATGATATGCTAAACATAAACTACTTTCCTTTAGAATATGTCTATATTAGAGAAGGGAAGATACTAGAAATTAGCAGTTTCTCTGCCCTCTGGTGGCAATAAAATCAACTGCAGCATTTACAAAAGTAATGCATAATAAAATGTCCCTGTTATGAAATCAGAATTTTTTTCCTGTACCCAACTGTCTGTAATAAAAAATACTGAGTGCTACATGCCAAATTTCAAGACTGTTGGCTGTTTCTTCTAGTACTAAACTTTAAAACAGGCTATTTTACCAAAAAAAAATATTTTTTTGTTTCACCTTGCTGTTTTTGTGCATTTTGTAGGCTGACCATTTCATTCTGAGATTGTTTCACACAAATACATGTAGACTGATGTCCAGGAAAGAAGATACTTTATGATAAAGTCTCCCAAAATTTGCCAACACACTGAAACTATTCCATTTTTTACTCATTTCTGTAAATGTGTGGGTCTCTACAGCGTCCTCCTACCCGCTGGAAATAATAATTAGTTTAAAATACCGATATACTGATGTGGAGCACTGTAGGTATATTATAGTCTCCAAAGCAAAGATTCTTAATGATCTAGCCAGTCTCACAGAAGGGTGAATTTCATCCTGAATTTCAGTATTAGGAACACCCAATATTTTGGGCATACACATATATAGGTACAGTGTATATACACGTATATAGCGATATATACTTTTCTCAGTATTATATATGTACTTTCTCAGTTAACATTTTTGCTGAAAATGTTAGAAGGATGAAGATTTGCTGACTTTTTATTTTTTATCTTTTACTGTAAATGTATCGTTTACTCACTGTGCCAAAGAACTTCTTAAGCACCTCGGGATGCATTTTGGCACACACATCCTTCTTAGCTCCTTTAGGATAAAGTAAATTGCTTTCTTTAAGCATTTATTTACTCCATGAAAATGTCCATATAAATTACGGTTGCACCTTTTTAATAACTGTTGTCTTCCGGCAACCTAAAAGTGTTATTATTTCAATCAATGAAATGTATCTGAGGAATAGACAGGTCTGGTCTACTGACATAGTGAATCCGTGTCCACGAATACAGAACGATCATATGTGACAACACAGACGGACACCCAGGAAATCTGCACTGTAGTCTCAGCTTTAAGTGCTGTCACCATGTCGTCCCCTCATGACCCCGCCCCACCTCCACCCCACGTCCCTCTCCAATCTTAAATAAGAGCACAGGGTCAGTATCCAGCTTCCTGTAGTGTTTTGATCATCTTGTAGGTCTTGGTACAATTCCATCTTAGGATTTCCTTCCAGATTCACCTTGCCTGGCATCCCCAGGTGCCCTTCCCAGCCCTCCATCTGTGACTCCTGCGTTTGATTACTAGGGGTGCGGGCGTGCTTGCTGTGTAACCACTTGCCATCCCTCCACTCCCCAAACTAAACACAGACACCCCAAAACAGGTACAAATTGATTATTTTAAGCACAAAGTTTTCCTTTCTTTTTTGCTTTTCCAAGTGTTTTTGCTCATTGCGCCTCCTCTCAAAGTCTACCAAGTTCACAATTTTCTACCAAGCTCTTAACTGCCTGTTTCCTCGTTGAAGGGCAGAGGCGGGGAGCTGCACCCGGAGTTGCAGCAGGCAGGGTGTCTGTCTCCCCGGGGCGCCGCTCCACACAGGACGCACACCTGGCCGGAGCAGCTGGGAGCAGGAGGCGTAGCCACTGGGGGGGGGGGGGTGCTGAAGCTCGGGATCCTCTCCCGGACAGTGTCAGGGCACTTCTCGGTCGCATTTAGACCTGTCAGTGAAACCCGCTGGCCGGGGACAATGGGTCCAGGGGCTGGTGCCCAGAGGCGCATCCGCCCCCACTTTTCGCACTTCCTGCCCACCTCAGCTCAGATCACATCTACCCTCCCCACTTCCAGCTTCCAGCGCCTCACTCTGCCCCAGTGGGAGAGCTAGTGAGAATAGCCTGGAGGAGGAAGGGGCAGCCATAGGGAATCTTCTCCTGCTGAGGGCAGCCTGTAATCCCCGGCTTTCCCCATGGACTCGCTGGGGTTATCCAGCAGTGTGGGAGGAGGAGGAGCTGGAGAAGACACAGCCTGGATACACCAGCTCCCGGGCCAGGTACCCACAGAAAGAGGTTTACTCTCACACCGGGGCCCCACTTGTGGGTGATGGTACCACCCCTGCCACCCAAGGGAAGTAAGCCCAGGAGCCTCAAGAACACCCCACAGCCTCAGCATCCGTCTCTACTCAACCCTTCTCCCAATTTAGGAAGCCTAAGTGCCTGAGTTTACCCAAAAGCTAACTGCAATAACTTTCCCAAGGACAGACCGATGAGATGGGGGTGGACTGGGAGTGAGGGTGCCCAGGAGGTCTTCAGTCAGGCTTAAAATCAACAAGGGAAAGCACGTCTTACCGTGGATTTGGTTTCCTGGCTTCCCTTCCGCGAACTGAAACCCGTCCATTAAAAAGTGGCAAAGTAACACAACTCCAGCAGCGGCCAGGTCGGCCCTCGGGAAGCTCGCCATGCCGCCGTCGCCACCTCCCTACTGGCCCCCGCCAGTCCTTCCCTAGCGCTCGGTTCTCTGGGACTCCCGCGGGAAATAGGGGCAACCCGGCCTGACGCTGGCTAGTGGTCTCCGCGGGACCCCAAGGCCTTTGCAAATTTCGCTGGGATTTCACACCGCAGAGCCAAGAAGAGGAAGAGCCGAGCGCGAGCAGGAGCGCAGCCCTCTCCGGACCTCCGGGGCTCTCTCTGCAACTTGCCACACTCGCAGCCCTCACCGACACTGCACAACTGCTGGGAAGAAAGGCCACTTGCAGCTGGGGCTGGCAAACTGTCGGTTCCCTACAGTGGCAGCGCCACCCCTGTGCCCGCAGACGGTGACTTCCGAGCCCCAGCGATGCGCTCCACTGGGTTCAAAACAGATCTAATTCCACATACAGCGCCACGGCCGCCTCCAAATCCAAGAGGACTGTAGGCTCTGAAGGAACTTTCCTCAGTCTCGGGATGGCCCCGGTGGGAGGTTTAGGTTTGCGGTAAGGGGGTGGCTCGTGGGCTGGCGAAACCCCTCCGACAAGTTTTTCTTCTTCGTCCGATGCTGGGCGTATGTCCTTCCTCGCAGCCCGAGGGATGGGCAGCCCCAAAAAGCAGAGCCCTGGAAAGGTTTAGGCTGCAGCAGTCTGAGGTTAGAAGCCAGGAAAAATGTATTTAAAAAGAAAAAAAAATAAGCAAGAAGGAAGAAAATGAGACTAAACCCTACCAAGAGAGGGTTCCTCCAGGCCAAGGAGGAGGTGGCCCCAAGCCCCCGCTGAGCCCCGGGAGTTTGGTGGCGGAGGAGGCGCCGCCGTCGCCGCGCTCCCCCGCGCTCCTGCTCCACACTTTGGGGAGGGAAGGCAGCTCGCAATTTGCCAGATCCGCCGCTGCACCCTCCTCCCTCCTCCCTGTGCCCTCCCCCTCGCTCCTCCAGGCTTCTCCCACCTTCCTCCCGAAACCGGCAGCCAGCACCGACCTGTCCAATGGCTGCACTTTCCTCGGGGCTGGCAGAGAAGTCGCCGACAGATTAAGCCGGGGGAGCCCGGCAAGGGGGAGTGAGAGGGCAACTCCGGCTCCGCGCGTCCCCTGCAGCCGGCGGCCCCGAGCGCAGTGAGAGGAGCGGAGTCAGGGGAGCTAGGAGGGGTGCACCGGGCAGCACCTCTGCGCCGCCGGGGCGCCATCCCCGCACCGGCTCGCGCCTCCTGCAGCCCTGCCAGTCGCGCCCGCACCCACCTGGCTCCTGTGGGGTGGGGATTCGGGAAGGGGGATGGACTGCGACAGGGCCCCGGCCCAAGGGGGTGCCCGCCCGCGGCAGGGTCTTCTTGGGCGCTAAAGGGTTAAGTACAGTTGGCTCTTCTGGGAGGGTTTGTCTGGCGGAGGTTGGGGTGTGGAGGAAGCAAACCAGAGCCAGTTGGGAGACCGAGCCCCAAGAACCCCCTCAGACCCCAGACCCAGCACGCAGGGTGGTGGAGGGTAGGGCGCCGCGGTGTGGTCCTGCCGCCGCCGCCGCGGCTTTGTAAAGTGACAGCAGGAGCGAAAGCGAGAGTTTAAAGGAACAGGAGGCCCATTGAATTTCCTACGGGGGCTCTAACTGGCTTTCGCTCGCTAGTTTGTTTTTATTTTTTCACCTCGCAAAGCAGCTTCACCATTAACCCCTTCCAGCCCTCTCGTTAGTTTGCATCTTATTTGGCTTACAGTTAACCTCGTTTTAAAGAGATAAAAAACAATGGAAAAATGCAAAGCATTTTGGTGGAAAGTACAGATTCTAGGGCCAGACTGACTCGGCTGGAATTCACCTCCCCCGCCCCCACAGTAAGCAATTTATTTCAAGGCAGACTCAGTTCTCCGTCCATCAAAGGGAAGAATGATAGTTACTAGGAACGCTCTTACAAGCTCGCTGCAATGAATTAAATGAGTTAATACCGTATGATTTAAAAATAATTAGAACATTGCCTACCACAAAGTACAAGGCTCTGTTTCTTGAAGAGAAAGAGTCGGAGACCTAAATCAAATAACAAATGAACGTGTGTTCTAAATTTCCAAGGTCTGTTTGCCTAGTCTGGTCCCTTACACTCCATGCTCCCAAGACTTTACGGGTGCTGTCGATGACTTGTCACAAAACTCACTAGAATTGGATCCGGACAGTCAATCACCTCCCCAAATCTGGTGCCCAAAAAACAGCTCTTTCACAGGAAACAGGAAATGTAACATGTTTTCCCTCATCTGACACTCAATTTACTCATTTTTATGTCTAACAACAAATACACACATAAAAACACACAAATACCTCGTGGCTACACCCTTGATTATGCCAACACCTGCCGTCTCTCCTCTGAAGTTTCTCCCAACTGGTTGATTTCCTTTTCCCCACCAAACTTAGGAAACCTACTTCTTTTACTTCTGCTAAACTGGGAGCGTTTATGCCCTATGTAAGGATATATCTAAATTTGGGTGCCTTGGATATACACCTATGTAACATCAAGTTTGAAAACTGCTCATCAAAACTTGATTCTACAGTTGCCCCTTAAACTACAGATTTGAACCACAGGGTCCACTTTCTTTCTTTTTCTTTTTTTTTTTTTTTTTTTTGAGACAGAGCCTCAAGGGGAGCCCCTGGGTAGAGTGCCCTGGTTTCACTGCTCACAGCAACCTCCAACTCCTGGGCTCAAGTGAGTCTCCTGCCTCTGCCTCCCAAGTAGCTGGGAGCACAGGCGCCCGCCACAACACCCAGCTATTTTTTTTTGGTCGCAGCCATTATTGTTGTTTGGCGGGACCTGGGACCTGGCTGGATTCCAACTCACCACCTTAGGTGTATGTGGCTGGCGCCTTAGCCACTTGAGCCACAGGCTCCGAGCCCACAGAGTCCACTTTCATGGGGACTTTCAGGGGTGGCAAAGATGGAAGAGACAGCAAGGTTAATCCCTCCTCTCCCTCCTCTTCCTGCTCAAGATGAGACCAAGGATGAAGACCTCTATGAATAGCAAATTTATTTTTTTCTTCCTTATGATTTCTCTTAGTAAGTTTCTTTTTTCTAGCTTACTTTATTGTAAAAAAGCAGCATATAATACAGATTACATACAAAATATGTATTACTTGACTGCATATTCTCGGGGAAGCTTCCAGGCAACAATAGGCTATTAATAATCAAGGTTTTTAGGAAGTCAAAAGTTCTATGTGAATTTTTGACTATGGCGGTGGGGATGCACCTAACCGCAGTCAACTGTGGCTTAATCGATGGCAACCTTTTTGCCTGCAGCCACAGTGAAGTCACTACCTCATGAATCCGTATGTGGAAAGCTCCCCAAAACATTCCGTACAACTCCAATCCCATTTATATTGGAAATGATGAGAACCCAGCACAGAAACCATCTCAAGAAAGCATCTCTTTCTTTAGTTCTTCAGCAGGGCCATTTCTCTTGCTTTCATAGGAGATAAAATGCATGTTTCTTCTTTCTCTGAGAAGGAACAAGTCCCCACCTCTCTCTACGGTGATTTCCTTCCTTCTTTCCTGGCTATGTGCCCAGTCATAGGGCTCTTTTTCTTGTTGCTTATTGACAGCAATGCTTTGCCTTCCTGATTGAAGTTACATACCTGTTTTTTAAGTAGAAACTTGATGCTAAAAATTGCAAGGAGCTAAAAGATAAGTCAGAGTCATTCTGGAGAGACTTTTGTGCGATTGCCTATCTCACTGTGGCTGCTTCATTTGCCTGTTTTATTCCTTTCTTGATACTGTTCTGAGGAGCTGCAGACACATAGAAAGTAAATACTTCAGTGTGGGAGAAAGTGTGGGTGAGCCAAAATCAATGCTTGATGACTCGGTGTTCACAACTAAGAAAGAGCATCATTGTAATTTACTCACGCTTTGATAATTAGCCTTAAATGTCAACCAGTAATTATTTATAAAGATATATTTTGCCTTTACATAGTAGCAAGAAATAAATAAGAATGTATGTAGGGTACTATGTACAGAATGAAATGGAAAAAGTTGATGACTCATGTAACTATGGCTAAAGTCACGTGTTTTGTGGCCTAAATTATTTACATCTGCCATATACATTTCACCACAATAGAAGTGTCTATTTCAATTTTGCTATGACAAATCAAGTCTTTGTGGGAAAAGTCTCATCTTTCCTCTGACATGAGCAGGGGGCTCTAATGAGTAGAGATCTATTTATTCTAGATACAGGAATGGAATTGCTGGTTCTTTTACCCACTGGCTTAATTCTGGCCAATTTCTCCAGGAACAAATGAATCAAGAATTGCGACTGAGTAGCACTTGGGTTCTTTGTGCATGGCAGAGATATGAAAGTCCCAGGACAAGGTCTCCTTTAAGAGTATGTATCAGACTCATTCTCAACAACATAAAACACTGGGCAGACCTTAGCATCTGAGTGGTTATCTATATAGATTTCAAATTGGTTGGCAAGGCCTCATCTCCACTAAACTTCAGAGAGATTTCTTACACATTCCAAGTGCAATACTATCTGTATAAATGTACTGAACAGTTAACCATCTCTTCTCCCCTCGAGCTTTAAGGTTGTGTTTCCTAGGATCTGTCCAAAATGGAAAGTTGGCTAACAGGATGCTCCAGAGGACAGCATGGAAAAAACTCAGATGCAATATAGGCTGCAGAGTACTCAGCTGTTATTTTCATATTTTCTTAAAAATATTTCAGGAAATGGTTTTTGCCCATTTCAACCATTTGTTAAAAATTTCTTCTACAATTGCTGTCAGATAAGTGGAAATTGCTATTAGTGAACTGCTTTTATCCAGTCCTAATATTATGACCTTTCCTCTTGGGCTATCACATTTCCTCTCCCTCCTCATTTGACAGGGCTAATTTTTTGACCTCTGATGGCGCAAGTACAAGACTCATTTGTTCATCGTGGCTGACCTGCTCTCAGAATCAACTGGGATTTTATTGTACGGCTTGATGGATATTTCGGCTTCTTGTCTGTTACTGTTTTAAGTAGAATATATTACCAAAAGGGTGTTTTGAATCAAATAAGCATTGAAAAAATTCACCTACCAGTTAACATCATTCTTTTCATCCACAACATTTAACATGCAAGAATACTTAATGCCTTGTAGCCTCATATCAATACCACGTTTACTGTTTAGATGAAATTAATAATATAGGAAGATTCATAATGTAATAATATCCTGCATTAAAATGCCATACATGGTTACACTGTCCATACTGCCTTCTTACTGAGCCTCAGTAAGCTAAAGTGCTTTTAACTAGTGCTTTAGACAGCAAAGCAGAAAAAAATGTGCAACTCCAAGTAGTAGGAAAGAAAATACTTTTCTAGAAAGTGAAATACAGTCAAACACTACATTCTTAAGAAGGGTAGGGTCAATCTTAGATTCCTTTTAAAATGGCAACAATGGGTCATGGAAACATAGGCCTCCTTCCTAAATTGGCCTCAAAGATAAGTTAAATTCCTGCATTTTGCAAAAAAAAAGGAAGGGAAGGAAGGGAGAGAGGAAAGGAGGGAGGAAGGGAGAGGAAGGGATGGAGACAGGGATGGAGGGTGGAAGGG